CCCATCAATACCCCCAAACCTGCTCTGCATGTTATTTTTCTCACTTTGTAAAGCACAATATGCTTAAGTCCGCCATCCGAGTCCATCTCCATGCCGGGCACTCCCTGACAGTCCACTCGCGCTGCTGTCACTCCTATTCTGGATCCTCAGAGCATTGACGTGGACACCCAAAGAAGGACTCAGCCTCATGTTTTCTTACCTCGTGGAGCAAAATGTACTCGCCTAAGTCCACCATCCGAGTCCATCTCTGTCGCTGATTCCGGGTGCAGGGGACTGCTAATCCAGAGCGGCAGATTTGCCAAAACCAGCCAGTCCCTGACAGTCCCCTTACACTGCTGTCACTCCTATTCTGGATCCTGAGAGGACCCCGTCGCTGGACAGCCACTGGGACTTATCTATGTCATTCAGGCATTGACGTGGATACCTGAAGAAGGACCCAGCCTCATGTTTTCTCACCTTGTGAAGCTCAATATACTCACCTAAGTCCACCATCCGAGTCCTTCTCTACCGCTGATTCCGGATGCAGGGGACTGCTAATCCAGAGCTGCAGATGTACCAATGCCAGACAGTCCCCTCACACTGCCCTCACTCCTATTCTGGATCCTCAGAGCATTGATGTGGACACCTGAACAGGAACCCAGCCTCATGTTTTCTCACGTTGTGAAGCAAAATCTACTCGCCTAACTCTGCCATCCGAGTTCATCTCCATGCCAGCCACTCCCCAACAGGCCCCTCGCACTGTTGTCACTCCTCCTATTCTGGATCCTCAGAGCATTGACGTGGACACCCAAAGAAGGACTCCGCCTCATGTTTTCTTCCCTTGTGGAGTCCATCTCTGCCGCTGATTCCGGGTGCAGGGGCCGCTAATACAGAGCTGCATATATGCCAATGCCAGCCAGTCCCTGACAGTCCCCTGACACTGCTGTCACTCCTATTCTGGATCCTGAGAGGACCCCGTCGCTGGACAGCCACTGAGACGTATCTATGTCATTCAGGCACCTGAAGAAGGCCTGTTTTCTTACATTGTGAAGCACAATATACTCACCTGAATCCCCCATCTGAGTCCATCTCCATGCTGGCCACTCCCTGACAGTCCCCTCACACTGTCGTCACTCCTATTCTGGATCCTGAGAGGAACCCGCCGCTGGACAGCCAATAGGACTTATCTACGTCATGCAGGCATTGACATGGACGTCTGAAGAAGGACCCCGCCTCATGCAAACAAAAGGATTTAGGACTGAAGTGTCACATGACCACTTCTTTAGGTAAGTAAAAAGGGCATTCATGTTTATTCTTCATGCTGGTGATCAGTTTCAGGGCTGGGAAGGGGTTTATGGGGGTTTTTTTTGTCAGAGTTGTGATTTTACATGCCCCTATTACATAATGATATCCTACTTTATAATGAGGCCGATGATCTTCCTTCAAAACAAGAATATATTTAACATTCAGAATAATATACAAATACTTTGGCGTGTCTTGTCTTAGAATAGCTCTGGTGGTTTTTTTATTTAAATCCCCTCAGATAGAAATCGGAAGACAAGATGGAGTGACTTATGTTTGTTTGCCTCCTGTGATTTATCATTAGGATGAAGAAGAAGAGATTAAGCAGGAGATTAACATGTTGAAGAAGTACTCCCACCATCGCAACATTGCAACGTACTACGGAGCCTTCATCAAGAAGAGTCCTCCGGGGAACGATGACCAGCTATGGGTGAGGTCATATGCAGACTTTAGGCTGTGAACTCCCACGCTCCTGCTTTTAGACACTGCAGCTCACAGCATGCGGGTTTTACTACCAACAGAGACAGTGCTGTCAATCCGAAAAGCAGTGGGTGGAACTAGGTGTGGCTAGGCGCTGATTGACAAGCTACAGGCTTATGAATCACCAGTGGCAATGTAGATAGCCACGCCCGCTGTAACATCTTCTCCTCCCACTGTAGTGTAAGCAGGCACGGCCTACGTGAGGGTGACAACTCTGCTCTGGATTCAGGAGCAGTGCAGCATTGTTGCCAGCCCATCGTAGGAAGCTGTATTGGTAGACTAAACTGGATCACCAGGTCTTTGTGGAAGTTTGCAGGAGGACACAGAAAACTGCGGATGCATATAGTTAGGTGGTTTTTTTTTTATGGTAGGTCATAGTTCTTCCGTAATCTTTACAATTCATAGTGAATCACTTTGCTGATCCAGAGTGCCAGGCGTATTGGCTCAGTGGTTACTGTTTTGTAAGCGTACCAGACTGCAGCAATAAAAAGCTGGCTGAGCTTTAGGGCCCGCCTTCCTGTTTACTTGACACGCCTGGGGGGCCCTTCTAGAAAAGCACAGGGCGCCCCCACTAGATGAAGAGGAGTAAGGCAATTATTACAGCTTATTCCTCTACTGCTCACACAGTGTGAGGGTTACATCTCAGGAAATAAAATCTTGGACATGGCCCTGTACACAGACTGACAGCTTGCTACTGGACCCTCCCTGACATGTATCCCGGGCTCTGCTGACCCCTATGGATGCCCATGGTGGGTGTCAGTGAGGTGAGCAGAGGGCGGTCAGTAAACAGCGTCGTCATTGCAGTGATTGAACCCGGGAGCTACAAACGTTTCATCACTTCCTGTTTCAGAGCGGTCATTTAGAACGTCCATCAGATTCTTCTTGCTGTCAGTACTAGTGATGTAGTATAGGATGGTCGCCTTGGAGAGTGATCTCTTATATCTGTTTTAAAAGGGTTCCCAAACCTTCATCTTAAAGGGCAGTGCATCTTCCCTTACCTCGCACTTGTTCCATGATGCCTATTATTTGTTTAAACTTTCCCTTTTTTCTCTCCTGTGAGGTACAGCATGTCTTTCTACTTCCTGTGTTAGGGTGACAACGCTACCTAAGTGGCTCCCCAAGGAGGAGCAGCAGCGTTGTCACCCTCCAGATGCACACTCCGTCTGGCTACAGAGGGAGGTCTACAGTGCAGTGTTGACTGAGCTGACATGCGCAGCATGTGCTCACGTTGCGGAGTCCCTGGTCCGTTCCTTTCATTCATTGGATTTCAGTTCTTTCACTCATGGAGGTTCAGCATCACATGTGGGCGATACCTAGATTGGTCTGCATGTAATGGCAGCCTGCCTAGGAGCGCCCACTCCTCCAGAATGATACCCACACATCAAGGCAACTTTGATGTTTGCATAACTCCTCCCAAGAGCCCGCCCACTGTTTTATCAGGGCTGAGGACTCTTGAGAAAAGTACTGAGTCAGGGTGCTGTGATGTTTTCAGGAAGCCATGTACAGGCCCCTCCCACCAGACATGATCTGCCTGCATGACATAAGAAAGCACAGGGACCCCAGCGATGGCACCACTGAGCCTAAAATAATGTATGTAATGAAAAGTGAAAGGCTTTATTTAGAAATGTCAGTAGCATGTTGATGGGAGAGGAGGAGGAATGAGGGAAGGCAAATATAAGCAGATTATACTTCAGTGTAATGGGAACTGGGATAGAATATGAGAATAAGGCCTCATTCACATGAGTAACAGCCGGCCCGTACAGATCCGTGCAGCGTGCACCGTCGTATCGTGCCTCTCCCGGGCAGGACAGGTGCTGCGTGTGATTTGTACGTTGCAGCCTGTTCTCTATGGGAGTAGATGACCGTATGCCGCCTGCGCTCACCCAAACTGCACATCCGTATGGGTGCAGATGTCCCTGCTTGGACAGACAGGATCCATCCTGTCAGCGTACGAGTACGAATGTCTGCACCCGTACGGATCTGTACGGCCCGGCCATTACTCGTGTGACTGAGGGCTAAATCTTCCCAACAGGTAGAAGGACACCAGGAAGAACCTTCCTCCTCGTCTACCCCAAACTACAATGCTGGGATTGCACCTCATCCTGGTGATGGAACGCTGCGCTCATATCCTGTGTTTCTCTCCTCATAGCTGGTCATGGAGTTCTGCGGTGCGGGATCGGTCACAGATCTGGTGAAGAACACGAAGGGGAACTCCCTGAAGGAGGACTGCATTGCGTACATCTGCCGGGAAATCTTACGGGTAAACTTCACATCTGCTCTTACTAATCTGATTCATTTTGTGTCCGATTCCTTCTTCGTACTGAAAGTAAATCTCCGTTTTAGTAAACAAAATTCACCTCGAGATCTCCCATGTGATTTGCAAGGGCATCAGCAATCCTACTGGGTTTGGAGGGATGATTGACACTCCCTGCCTACAGGATCTCTCTCTCTCTCTCTCTCTCATTTTCAAAGCTTACCTTAGCAAACTGAAGAGAGATGCTGATTGGTTGCCATGAGCAACTGCTCCAGATTCTGTTTGCTCCAGTTTTGGTCAATTCCCCCAGTGTACATTAAAGGAGCCTCAAAATCTGAGCCGACTTGTGACAATGAAACTGTCACACGTCGGCTCAGTAGATCGGGAAGTGAGGGAACACATACCGTCGCTCGCTCACTTCTCGATCTATCCCTGCAGAGAGCCGTGACTGTCACTCACGGCTCCCTGCAGGGATTTCCCCCTGCCCCCCCCCATCCGATCCTCCAGCGCTGACTGGCGGAACACACGGGGGAGAGTTTGGGCAAAGCTGGCTCTGCCTCTGGATAGGCAGAGCCAGCTGTCAATCACGCAGCAGGGTGGATCTCGACAGCAATGTCGGGATCCGTTCCGGCTCCGGCGTCTCAGTATACTGCGAGCTGTAGCTCGTGATATACTGAGCCTAGGGTGACGGGAGAACGCTAGTTTGTCTCCTCCCGTGACCCCTAGGAGAACTATGGGGAAAAGCCCTGACCCCATAGTTCTATAACATAGTTCTTGAAGCTCCCCATTTAGAATGAGAGCTGCAAACTGACCACAGTAGGATGGATCTGTTTCTGTGCCCAGCATGGTCAGAAAAGAACAGGAAGAGGGTGTAAGAGAAACTGACTGGCAGGATCACCTGGTGTATATAATGCGTTTCAGTGGGTTTTATCTAAATAAAAGGACTTCCTATATGTGTGTGAGAGCAGGAAAGGGAATGCGGCAGCTCCTGGGTAGGAAGCAGGGATGCAAACTAACCACAATAGGACATTGCTTCCAGTTTTGAGCGTGGTCAGAAAGGAATAGGAAGTGTGTCTTCATGTAAGGTAATGGCAGGATCACCAGGTAGTTTTCTGCATTTTACATGCCTGCATGGTATCACTAGGTGCATTGAGAGGGACAAAGGGAAGAAGTACTCTGCTATTGATTTTAGGGTTGATGTACACGTTACCTTTTGCGTGTGTTTTCAGACACTAGATGAAGGCGTGCGCTGCATAGATGTGATGTTTTTGGATCTTGTTAGCATTTGATCAACCAGGTCTAATAAGTAACAATTATTCTTTCTTGTCTTCAGGGTCTGTCTCACCTTCACGCTCACAAGGTCATCCATCGAGACATTAAGGGTCAGAATGTCCTCTTGACGGAGAACGCTGAAGTCAAACTGGGTGAGTTCATATACGTATGTGGCCAAAATGTGCAGACATGTGACCATCACATCTACATTATACGGCCAAGAGAATGCAGACATCCCTTTCAAATGATTGAGTTCTGCTGTTTCCAGTGAAGGGTCCTGTTACTGCTACAGCCAACAGAGACATTCTACACCTTTGTTCACTTCCAGCTTTGGTGGAACGTTTACAGGTACACTAGTTCATTCTTTAAAGAGCATCTAAAGCCCAGACTTCTTATTAGTTTTGGATGGAACAGTTAGAACCTCTGGTCTGGTCTGCTTTGTATTGCTGTCTATGTCTGCTGGGGAAATTCACCCTCTCAGTTTGTCCCGATGACCATTGTCACCATGACTGAAAGTGTTGAGAAAATCCCAAATTGTGAGCTGTCCCCGGAGCAGGAATAGAGAGCAAATGTCCCGGTGGGCACACTTGTTTTGAGGACGGCTGTTTTGAGGCCCTGGTGCCCAACCTGTAGCCCTTTGGTACTTGCTGATTCTAGTCATGGAAGCATTCATTTGTACCGTAGAAATGCTATAATATGGAGCTGTCGGGTCACAGTTGAGGCCTCTGAATAACTACTGGTCTAAGAGAAGATTTCCCTCACATTAGACAGATTTCCTTTCACTTCCTGTTGCGCCTACGGTAGAAGTGGAGGACACATTGTCAAATGGGACACGGAGGACAAATAGGAAAAAAACCAACAGGCATTTTACCCATTCCCCCAACTCCATCCAAAATAATAAAACTTAAACTATAGATATACATTCATTAGGAAAGGGGAAGGGGTTCTCCAAT